CGCTGTCCCGCTGAACCAAAAACAACAACCCCCCCCAGCACCGCTGCGCCGAACCAAAAACAACCCCCCCGAGCGCTGTCCCGCTGAACCAAAAACAACAACCCCCCCCAGCACCGCTGCGCCGAACCAAAAACAACACCCCCCCAGCGCCGCCGCGACGAACCAAAAACAACCCCCCCGAGCGCTGCCACGCCGAACCAAATAAATCAATAAATAAAATACCCCCGAGTGCTGCCCCGCCGAAACAAAACAAACAAACAAAAACCCGAGCGCCGCCCCCTACAAGGTGCCGCCCCAAGCACGTGCTTGGTCGGCTGGTGCTTGGAGCCGGCCCTGGTCACATGGGCCGCAGCTGTGTGCTGATTGGGCTGTGGGTTAAGAACCACTGCTCTACACTGAGAGAGCTGTCTTGTTTCCAGGCACCATTGCAAAACCCCAGTGTAAGCAAGGTAATGCTGCTAATTGTCACCAGTGTAGCTTATCCTGGTTTCATGCAGAGATTAGCGACACCAGTTCAAGACACCATTTACCCTGTCTACAACGCGACTGTATTAGACCAGCTACACTGAAGCCTGGAATCAGGGCAAAACCTTAGTATATGCTTTGCTCAGCTGGAAAAGCTGAAGGTCTTGGCTACAGTGGCAACAGACACAGATACCGCTAAACTAGTCATTACTCATAGCGGGTGGGATATTCCCGCCAACAGAGCCTTGAAGAGGAAATGTTACTTTATGGAAGCGCTTGTCCTGTTCCAGAATTGAAGGCGCACTGTAGCGTTCAGAGGCGAGGATGTTTCTCATGGAAATTACTGTATAACTGTAGTTAAGCTACATAAATCAGCCGTTGTATCCTGCAATTTGTAAGGCAGTTGTTAAAGAAAAAATAAACCGCAGCCCTTCTGGTTTGTGTATCCAGGAATCCTTTAATGTTTTTCAACTTTACAGTTCACCAGCTCAGCTGACGGGATTCACGATGAAACCTGCCTGCTTGCAAATTGCATGAGCCCTAATTAGATCACAGCATCGGAAT